TGAGCGATAAAAAGTCCTTGAACAGTTGAAAATTATGTTTTTTTTTCGCAGCAGGTTATTTTGGACCACCTCCTGAAAGGCCTCCCACAAGTGGCGTTGGTTTTCATGCCTCTACCCCAATGACACTGCCAGCTGCAACTCCAATCTCAGGTGGTCTTTTTGGGGCAGAAAAGCTGCTCATCATCTGTTCAGTTTCGTACTCCTATGATCTATGAAGTAGACATACTCCTACTGGGGAGGTGTGTCCATGACCGACATGTGCAGCATCGTGTTGGACACAAACACTCCAGGACATGTGTTCAACAAGCCACATGCTGTGTCCAATTTTTTTGTATTTTTTTAAATTCCTGAAACAAGCAATCTTTAGGGGCACTCCTCGGACAAGTCCGACATGGCACTTGTGTTAAAAAGTGGAGAATAAAGGATATAATAAATGTAAAATTTTAAAATATTTAAATCTAAATGTCCTCCATGTGTCCATATCCTACTATTTGAAAAACCATGTCTTCTTGTGTCCTTGTCCGTGATTCTTATCCTATGATTATAACTTTGTGCTGTATTTTTTATAGGTCAGGGTATCCCTCACATGTTGCCATGCAGACCAGACATACCTGCCATCAACTGGAGGCCAGCCTGAACTTTTCGGAAACCTACTGTAGGAATTACTCTCTCTGCAGACCATTTAGCAGGTTATTTCGGTTATTCATTATTTGTTTGGTGCCGTTCTCTATTTACAAGAATGATTTAACTAGTTTTCTTCAAGGCAGACAACATAAGTTTCTTTCTGATTTTTTTATTTTTTTTTTCGGCGTTAATTGCAAGTTAATTTTATAATAATACTCGATTAAATCGGAAATGTAGTCTGCTGATTTTGGATTTCCACTACATGGCTTATTCATCTGCTGATCATTCCGATAATCAAAGTACTAGTAGCTGTCCCAACCCCAAGATTGAATTCTTTTTCTTTTTTCTGGTTTCAAGTCATAGGTGATGGATGAAGAAGGATTTCTTTTAATATCTCTCCAGCAGAAATGTTGAATTGGAGCTAGAGTAACTTGACTTGGTTGTATAATAGAAATTTTCTGGACAAACGCATCTTGCAGGCATATACCGTTAAGTGTAAGCTCTTTTTACTCAATATAGTAGTGCTTGTACTTATACTAAATATGTCCCAGAATGAATTTATGAAAGCAACCGGTTCAAGTTATGAAGATAGTTTTTCTCTTCTATTTCATTCCAAACCCTGCCCACCTTTCTTTATCTGTGAATTGCAATGAGGCATAACAAGTAATTCACATGTTGAAATATTTATTGTATATTTCGACCTTATTAGTTAACGTATATAGTTGGTTATGAAACAAAGCGTGTGCTGTTTCTACCAATGAACAGAGCTGAGGAACCAGACCAATCCATCCTAATTCAGACCATATACTTATTATGGTGGTAACTGGATTGGAGTTTTTAGTGATAGTGAGTTTGCGGGAGTAAAAGCTTGGAGAAAAGAAAAGTTGGACTATAAGCCCACTCCCCATGATTATTGCGTTAACGTAGAAGGAAGATTAGAAAAGCATGAAGAAACGGGTAGCCCGACCAGTGTCTGTCAATAAGAGTCTTAAATATATTGAAATTCTAGGTTTCTTTACTAACTAATTATAGAAATATCGTGTTTGGTGCATATTAAAATGAGATAATGCATTTTTTTGAAGTGATGTGATGACGAATATGTGGTTGAAAAAGAAGGAAAAGTTATTGATGTGATGGAAAATATTATTTTATTGAAGAATGTGTGGTTTGAAATGAGTAGAAGAACGAGAATGGAAAAAAAAAAAATGTGGCTCAAACTGGGCTAAAAGTTTTATTACTTATTTGAGTGTTGGTGGGTCTATTTGTATTTGTTTTCCGGAAGGAGGACAATGATTATTCGTTGGCATGATCCAGAAGTAAATATTTTGGCGGATGCAAGCAACTTTTTCTTAAATCCAGACCAGAGAAAACCAGTGAAATTGAAAGGGCATGAGAAAAATCCATTTTATGATAAACTTCCAAAAAATTGGCCCTTAGATTGTGACAAATGAACCCGATTAAGTTCTAGATCGTTGGAGTAGAGGAAATAAATGAGTTTCAATATAGAAATTATTCCTTCAGTGCGAAACTTTTCTAAATTGGAATTAACTGTTTATAAGTTGAATAAATAAGCACACGAACTAATGAATCTGCCGTTGGATAATTCACATGAAAGAAGACGAAGAATTCTTAACGAAACTTACGCAATTGATCGAGCCATCTGTATGAGAGAGGTTCGATTCACCTCTGAAACTTGAATCGATACCATAGCTTTTACAAAATTCTTGACAAGATTTTGATAGGTATTACAAATAATGTCTAATCTAGACAATTTGGCACCGTTTTAATATGGGAAAGGTGAAGTGGCTTTATTCGAGATTTGATAGCATGAAGGCTCCTATTTAAGATAGGCTATAAGGGCATGTTCTCTTTAATGATTTCATGCCATTTTCACTTTTCGAAAACATTGAAAACACGTTTTCTTACCTATTTTCATAAACGAGTTTTCAAAAACGAGTTTAAAATTAACAAAGAATGAAAAACGTCAAAAAAGTCGTTTTGACCGTTTTCAGTTAAAATCAAGCCAAAACTTCATTTTTTAAAATTTTTTCAAAATGACAAAAAGAACATGTTTTCAACAATCTCAAAATGGACACTCAAAATACAAAATCCAAAATGAAATCAAACCTCAAAATTAAAAATTGAAATACGAAGAGAACAACATCTAACTTTCTTGAATTTTCTGGACCATTTTCTTCACGTCATTTATTTGCACTTATTCATCGAGCTTAGCATCCCAATGGTATGTGGTGTTCTATTTGTAGTAGTTAAAATCCTTACGTTGAGCCTTAATCGATTTTTAAAACATTGAAATTTATACTTTTATAAACAAGGTTGTTTTCTAAACTTGGTCAAAGTAGATGTCGGTGTAGAGCAGTTGTGTTGCTTTAGGTTGGTGGATCCACAGCGTGCCACATCATATAGGATTTTGTCGCTTGCGAAAATCTCCTATCTAGAGTTCCAAACTTGTTTGACTATCATTACGCGTTTTGTGTCAAGAATGGAAGTACAAGAAGTTGAGAGGCCACAAATTTTTTTATCATTTAAATCTCAATTGTATTATTAAAATTTAATTTATCTTAATTGGGTAACTGAATTTTAATTCAATTTTAGATTTCATCAACTTGTCATTCTATGTCTCCCGATGGTTGAGATTTGCTTAATTGACAGTTGTAAGTTGTAACGTGATCGATCTTCCCATAATCACAGCATAACATGTCAAATTATCATTATATTACGTCAAAAATTGTAAAATCTATCTTAACTTTTCATTTGAAGATGTTACCATAATCATCGTCCTACTATTTTCGTTTATAGAGTGTCACATGACACTTACGTGGAACATCAATTTGGTATGATTATCAACTAAGAAATTTATGTTAGTTTAGAAGACGATAGGTCTGCCTTAACTGGTACACCGCTATATTGAAATTAATTGAAGTGAATTGTGTAATTGAGACAATTTTAAATTTAATGATCCAATTAATATTTTTTCCTAAAAGTTCAGTGATCTTCAATAAATTTATCCTATATTAGTTTTCTTTTAATTCAAATATAGTACTCAAAACTCACACTTCAAATTGTCACTCCTTTTGACTTACACTTCAAACTCATACTCAAGAACCCGTTTGATTCTCATTATTGTAGAATAAGAATGAAAAATATAGTCGTTATTGGGCCCACACAAGAGATAGAAATTCAAAATTGATGGATTGATGTGATGAATAACGATCATATTTTTCATTTTTATGAATGAAAAATGAGAAACAAACGGGGCTAAATTTTATTCAGCTCCTGTTTGATACACATTAAAATTTTTATTATCATTCTTCTGCTTATTTTCAATCACACATTTTTCAATAAAATAATATTTTTCATCACATCAATAACTTTTCCTTCTTTTTCAACCACAAATTCTTCATCAAACTACTATTTCAGAACACATTCTTCCAAATTAATGTAGTTCAAACACACCCTCGATGATAAGCAGGCATGAGGTAGAGATGAAGTACCCACGGTCACCTAGCTATGAGACTTTTAGAAAGAGGGTAGGCTAGTGGTTGCTAGAGGAATTGACTTTTAGCTTTGGACTTTGGTTCTCGAATTATGGAGACTCCAATAATGATATAAATTTTATGACAAACACCAATAGGAATAGCATGAGAAAGAAGGTGACTTTCCAACTCTGTTAACTATCATTTTAATATTGCACTAAATTGATTGGCATAAACATATATAATAATTTCACCTTTTGCAACAGGACAACTGGCATATAAGTCGAGCATCTAAAGAGTATAAGAGAAGTTTCAATTGGGTCGATCACTCTAATTTAAAAAGTCTTAATCGAGTGAAAAACTAGCACAAGATTGGGGCACGTCTCACTTGTGAATCAGTGCTTCAGTACTTATAGATGGAAATCGTGTGTGCCTAATTCTAGCAACTTCACCGGCTCCGACTTTTCATACGGTTGTGACATCCACACAAGCAAAGCCCCATGTAGTTTTGCTAGCCGAGGGAGTGACTTGAATTGAAAAATTATGAAACTGATGACTTGATCGAATCTTTTTAAAGTTAGATGACCTAACTTATACTTTGCTCAAAGTTGGTAGTGCGTGTGTATATGGACACCTATATACATACATACATATACATAGATAGAGGGAGAGGAAGAGAGAGCGGGGAGGATCTGCCACTGCCAGTGCCTTTTTGATCGATTTTTTTCATGTACAGCACACGCGGAACAGTATATTTCTGTGTAGATCAGAGCGTATAGATGCAAATTACGTTGCTCGCTTTCTTTTTTTCTTTTTGTGTGTGAATAAATGGAAAAAGAGAGGAGAGTAAATGAAAATGGAGGAGGTTACGATTGGTCCCCAATGTCGTCGTCGTCGTCATCATCGTCTTCGTCGTCACTGTCAAAATCATCTTCAACAGGTATTAATGGTGGGACAAATTGCATATTACACCCTGTTTCCAAATTGGATACGCTAGCCGGTGTCGCCATCAAATACGGCGTCGAGGTACGTAATACCAAAGTCGAGATCTGATATAATATATTTATTTCTTTTTTTTTGTCTAATTTATATTTTTATGTTCAATATAAACACCATGGAGTATATAGTATAGATTTGATTTGATTTGTAAATTGTAATACTGTATTCTATAGATCTTGTGCCCCCTGATTTGTCTTTTCTGCACTATTAATTATAGCAAAGAATTTTGATTGCTAATAGCAAGGTAGAATCATTGAACAAAGAGGTTTAGTATGTTTTTGTTGTACTTTTTTAGTAACTATTTAGGAGGAACAGGATTGGGTATCACAAAATGTGTGGTTAATAAACGGGCAGTAGTTGTAGTTGTAAATCTATGTTTCGAGTTTATATTTGAGTTCGACTAAACTAAAAAATGAACTTTTTAAGTAGCTTTTAATTTTACATGAACAAATAGTTTGATTGCTATTAGTATGTGTTTGATGTACTTGGTTCTTCAAGGGTCGTACCTGATTTCTATAACTTGGGTTGGTATTATTGATTTAAGAAAAAACAGAAACGAGCGGACTGCTTATTTTTTGCTTTCTGGCTATTTATACATTAATTTATGTATTTTAGCTTTGTGATTTGTTAGGTGGCAGATATAAAACGGATAAATGGGTTGGTGACAGATATTCAAATGTTTGCTCTAAAGACACTTGAAATACCATTGCCAGGACGGCATCCCCCTTCCCCCAGCTTGTCCAATGACCTCGACACTCAACGGTATTCACTATTTCTATCTTCATTTTTATTTCCTATTACTGTTTTGGCTTTTTTATAGTCATATTATTGCAAACTTCTATTAAAATGCCTTAAAATGGACTTTCATTTAAAATAATGGTGTTTTGCAGTTTTAATTTATTAGCACTGTTTATCTTTTATGTTCTATCAGTTCCTCAATGGCAGAAAATATAGGCGTCTGTATAATAGTATTTACTTTAATGAATGGGGAGAGCAGCAGTAGCAGAACTTAAGAATTGTAAAAATAGTCGGCATTCATTTTCAATGGGAATGCTATGGACCTCGTCTTATCTTTTTTACTTATGATGCAAATACTTTTAAGTCTATGAAGTTTTTTTTTTTTTAAACAATTGCAAGCATATTTATAAAATTCATGTTAGCACGTGTTATTCCCCTCCTCTCACCTCTGTGTTTGTGTCTAGATTAGAAGAAGTAGAATTGATCACTGCCAAATAGTTTATAGACTGATGCTTCTGAGAGTTTTTTTTTTTGGTTCTATATTTCTTGCTTCTTAGAAGTTTTTGCTATGATAATTGACTGGGAAAACTTTAGGGTGCTTATTGACAAACAAAGAATTTAAGTACTAAAGAATCAAGCTACCTTGACTGGAACACAGTGTCAGCAAAGTGGTAAACTTAAGCCCTTTGCTTTTAGTTGAAGACAATAGAGTTATTGGGGTAGATAAAAATGGTTCGCATTCAGAGCTGTAACTAAGAAAATTGACTCTCTATGACAAAATAATTCACATACAGTCGACAGCATTATTTAGGAACATACTCCATAATTTAGAGGCTGAAAACCTTTTTTTCCAGCTTGTGATGGCTTGTCTATTATTTGCCTATATATCTAATATTCTGGTTTTTTCCCCTGCCTCCCCCCCCCCCCCCCCCTGGTTTTTTCCCCTGCCTCACCCCCCCCCCCCCCGGGTCCCCCTTTTCTTACTATCATTTCTGTTTTGTGTTTTTTTTTTTATATATGGGATTGGAGCGACGTAGGTGATAGGGACTCGATTACTCATGTAATGTGCCACTACCATAATACAAGTATAGGGAAATTAGTTGGACATTGGTGAGCAGGACAGTTGGGGATTGCTTTTGTCTTATAACACTCTTAGAGGTGTAGATAATAACATGTGGCTGATCCACGTTTATAGAAGTTCGAAACTTGGCATAGGAAATCGGGGACAAACTGAGGGAAAAAACTAAAACTCTTTATTTCTCATATTCATTTTCAACCACATTTTAATTCTGTTTTCTCATCTCTGATAGGCTATAAGTGATGTTCTGAATTGTCATCTGCCAAACTAATTTTAACTTTTTTTGTTTTTTTTACTTGATTTGGCATTTAAGTGGAAATCAGAATTTTTAAACACCGTCCCCTCTCAAATTATGATGTGTTTGAGCCCTATTTTTTGAAAGAATGGGTTTTGTAATAGTGATTTTTTGGAGAATGTGTGGTTAAGAAGTAGGGGAAAATTTTGGGTTTACGTGTAAACTTATTTTATTAGAAGAATGTATGGTTGAAAATGAGTTTTGGGGAAAAATGAGTTTTTATATAATGGGGCTCAAATAGATGCTTATTCACACATGAATCCATGCACAAATTGGTATTAGAAATAATGATTTTTACGAGGGGGGGTTTTAAATGGCTTATTGTTATGTTCGATTGCAGACCTAGCAGCTCTGAGCAGACACCATCATGCCGTAGGCACTCTGATTTGTTCGATTCATTTCAGTCACTGAAATCTTCTTCCCAGCGAAAAGTTTCTCCAGCTATGCGCAGCTTACAAGGTTATTACGGTCTGAAGCCAGAAGATCAGAAAACTGAAGCAGAAGGTATTGAAATGTCTGTGTATCGAAGAGGTGCTCAGTATCTAGAGGACGGACCATCTTCAAAACCTTCACCTATTTTTAACTCTTCACTAAGTAATCATAGAAAATCAGATAGCGATCTGGCCAATCGGGCATTGCCTCAAGAAGTCGAAGATAGTGACTCAGATAAATGGATCGAGAAGTTGGTGAGAAGGCGTCAAAAATCTGAGGCAGACTTCACTTCACGCACCCCAGAAATGCTACTAGAAGATAACAACGCTAGTGGGGGATTTTCAACCATTACAGGCAAAGGCTTGGCTCTCAGACCAAAGTCAGCCGGTCGAACTTCCTCTGGAGTAGATGTTGAAGCAAGTGGGATGAACCAAAGAGCAATAGCATTGGGGGATGCTTTTCTAGCTGACAGTATCAGCGGTGTAAGGAAGTCATCAAGCGCGTCATGTTTGCAGGATCCAGATAACAACACGATATCATCCATGTGGCCTGCAACGATGTGGAGTCTGAAGCCCGACTTTCAGGCTCTTTCTACTGTTTCCATTACTAGACCCATCTTTGATGGTCTACCTAAGCCAAATGGTCGAAGAAACAAAGCTGCTGTTGATTAGTAAAGCTATCTTGGGATTAAACTTGAATAGTAATTTTTGGTAAAGGAATCTCAAAATTCTACTTTGTGGGTGTTAAGAGCTATTGCTTAAAAGTATAGTATTCCATCAAGAGGAAATGTATATTAGATACTCAGGTCTGCTTATCTTGATGATTGGGGGAAAAAAATTCATGGATATATTTATACATACATTCTTTTTACTAGTATTGAGTACTTTTTTACGGAGAAAGAATCAGACGTATGAATCGCGTGTTTGCTATAAAATTATTCAAATATGTAAAAAAGCAGATTCATAAATTCAGAAGCAGCATTTGTGTTTTCAAAAATCTTACCAAATGAATCATAAGTCTAAAGGTAACTACAATTCTTTTAATTTTTTTCATTACCAAACATGTTGGAGCATTTTTAAAAGTTGCTTTGGGGAAGGAGTTTTTAGAAGTAAATACATATTGACCCGGAGGACTATCAATGACTGGAGAATGTAATGTTTTAATTGTAAATTTTACAGTATCTAAATTCACACGTGAATGTATATTGTGGTACTTATTTAGTTAAATAGGTGCAAAAATAGTTGAAATAGACTTGGAAGAATACTGATTCAGATGATTAATATTTAAATAGGTGTTCACCTTTGTGACGTATTTAAAATTGGATCAGTCTACATGTACATAATTTTATATATAATCTTTTACACCCCACTCACATTATCGAGGTGGGGGCCACGAGCTGACATTTTTTACTACACTTGGGGGGCGTGCATTGTGTGTGTGTGGGGGGGGGGGGGGGGGGGGAGAGCATTCGGTAAACCCCCCTCGGTACAAGTGGAATAACCCTTTAAAATTTTAAACTACGTTAATAACCTTTTTTTGTGATGTTTTCCTATTTTTAAAAGTGTACCATTTATTGCACAATTGTTCCATACATATTTTTATTTTTTCTTCACCTCGGTCTCCATTTTAAACGTGAGGTAATTGGAAAAAGGGGGAAGAGTTTGTCATGTCCAACTAAGTTTGTGTAACATCGAAGTATCTAAAAGTAACGATATATTTGAAATAATTGCACAGCATGAATATTATAATAAAATGATTGTATATATCAATTTAACTAACCACTCTCAATATTATAATATGTTTTCAGAATCATTTAGGATATGTTATCTTTACCATTTTCAAACCGTTTTCTGTTTTCGATTTTCCAAAACGGTGAAAACGCGTTTTTGAAAACAAATTAAAATTTTACAAGAAAACTTAAAACGACAAATGTGGTGTTTTCCGTTATAATCAATCCAAAATTTTCAAAACGCGTTTTGAGTGTTTTCAAAACACCAAAAAGAACACATTTTCAACAATCTCAAAATGGACACTCAAAATACAAAACTCAAAATGAATTCAAAACTCAAAACTGAAACATAAAAGGAACAGTCCCTTGAGTCTTGTATAATTCGTATTTGTTTTGAAACTTTCTCTATCCAAGCAGCTTACTCAAGCTGAGTTTTCTTCCAAATGAAACCACCCTTCCCCTATTTATAAATGAACCCGGGTTTAGTTGCAATTATTAATTTCCCTGATTACATTTCTAACTCCAGGTCAATTCTTACAATTTTCTTTAAACACATTTTTTACTCTATAACTTTCCTTAGAACTTCATTTAAATTTTCTAAAAATTACAAAAAACCTGGGACGTTACGTACTTGCCCTCGAATTTTACGTTCCCGGGTATCCTTATGAATATGCATAATTCACTCCGATAACAAGATTATGAAATGCATTCTCATAACACTTGCCCTTATATTCAAACTCTTGGCTCTGGCAAATCCTTTTTGCCCCAGCACCATTCAAACCGGGTTTAGCTTTCAACAAAGTATATTGTTGACGGGCAAATTGCCATAAACAAATTCCTCTCACATAATTAAAGTTTTCTCCTCCTCCTAAACTCTATGATTTTGATGCTCAAACCGGAGCAAGGGAGAATGGCCAATTGGAAGGAAGATATTTGAAGTTGCATACCTTCCTTCTCTAATACGAGAGTATTTATAGATTTTTTTGGGAGGGTTTTGGGTCATTCTAGAACACGACGGTAGCGATCGTTTATTAGTGGTTTGGTAACTCATTCTGTTATGTATTCACGTGTTATTTATTGGTTTAGAAAGTTACAGTTTTACCCCTTTAAGAATTAATGAAAATGGTGAAAAGAAGTTGTGTGGATACTGTGAAATGTTATATGAAATCGAGTGGCTATGATAATAAAATCAAATTCGATGACCATGTTGACATTAAGTATAAAGTTTGATGGTCATGATATAACAAAATCAAATAAGGTGGCTATGATGATACCAAGTATAAAGTTTGGAGATTATTGGTGGATTTAATAAAACCGGAGAAGAATTACACCATTACTCTCAATGTATTGTCTCGTTAGTAAATCAGTCTCCTACCTTTATACGGGAGCAAGTCTATCCCTAACTTTCATTATATTTGGAAGATTAATGCTATTTATAGTCAAAATTGTTTTATGTGACAACTTATTATCTCATTATTTGAGACAATAAAATTACAGAAAATTAATGTATGACATAGGATAATTATGATATTTTCTCAATAACGTTATTCTAGTTGGAAATATAGTTTAGGATCTAATGTGCAATCTCAAAGAATAAGTCAACAATCTCAAATGCCCCTTTTTATTTCATCCTCCAAATTGACGAGTACTTTCAATTTAATCCTCAATTTTTATTTAATTCTTAAAATAAATTGCCCAATGCAAAAACAATTCAAAATCAACTAGGAAGGATGCTAATTTGCCCAGTGGATTTCCGAATTTGTAAATCCAATTTAGAAGGAAAACAATAGAACAAAAAGGAAATAAAATATAATGAAAAGAAAATTTAGGGTATGTGTGAAAAAAATTGATAAAATTTAATAATTTTTGCGTGGTTAAAAAATAATAAAAATTACGAGTTCCCTTCGACGTAGTAAAAATTATTTTTTGTAACAAGGTCCTAATTACAAACCCTAAAGCGGCGGTGCTTCTGTCTTCAATTACTGAGACTCTCGTTCTCTCTATATATAACACGCTTATACTCTCCAGAACGAAAAAATCCAGCGGCCGAGGAATCTATAGTTAAACCCTAATAACTTAGGGTTTTGATATATCGTCGCATTATCTTCACTCTTCTACAATATTCAATGGGAAAATCAGCAAAGAAATCAGCTTCCAAGGTAAATTTTGTTAGCTTTCTCACGTTTTCTTTTCCTATCTTTTTTTTTTTTTAATTTTTGATTTTTGTGATTTGCAGGTAGATGCACCTCCCGCTGTTGCCGCTCCCACCAAACCGATGAAGAAAGGTTAAATTTGTTATTTCTGTTTGATTTTCTCTGTGCGGCTATTATAGATGATTCTCACTGATTTTACTTCGTGTGTGTTTGTTTTTGAATCGATAGGTAAGAGAGAAGCTGAGGATGCTATAGAGAAGCAACTAGTGAGTGCTAAGAAGCAGAAGAAGGACGTGGAAGTGCAGAAGAAGAATGAGGCTAAGGTTCAGAAGAAGAACGTCAAGAAGAAAGTGGAGTCTTCTTCAGAAGAAGACTCTTCTTCTGAAGAAGAGCTCAAGGTTTGTTTGCCTTTTTATTAGAATTATTATTTGCGATTTTATCCTCATTGTTCCTCTGCTTTTAATTCGTATGTTAATATGCTTGTGCGATATATTAAATTATTCTGATTATAAGATGCATACTGGCGTTGTACCTTATGCTTTTGAACTTTGCCTTTGTGGCTAGACGAAAGCTTTATGAAAAATCTTTTATCAAATTGTTAATAGTTAGCACTTTGACAAATTCAATTATGAAAGCATTTTCTTCACTTATGTTTTTAAATATATGAATTTTGATTCATGCTGGTTTCTGGAAATATATTAAAGAATATTATTTGCCATTTTTATCCTTATTCCTATGCTTTTAAATCTTTTTTTGTGATTTGTATGTGCCTGGATTAACCTGACTATAACTTGCATATTTATTTTATACCTTTAGTTTTTGTACTTCACCTTTGTGACCTGAACCAGGAATGCTTATTAAAATTTTTAATCTTTATATCAATTTTGTGAAGTCTATATTATAAATAGTTAGCACTTTGACATTCAATTACGGAAGCATTATCCTGTCTTATGTTTTTAAAAAATCTATGAATTTTGCTTCATGTTAGTTTCTGTTGATGTTTATGATTTGTAAATTATTAGGTTAAGGTACCAGCTAAGAAGGGAGGAGCAGTAGTCAAGCCGCCAGTGAAAGAATCTAGTAGTTCTGAAGAAGAATCATCTTCTGATGATGTGAGTGTTGTTGCTTTCTGCTTGTACTGTCTTACATCAATGTAGCCCATGTTTTCTTTAAAGTTTTGAACATTAATGTTCTGCTCATTCACTTATACGACATTTGCAGGAGCCTGCTAAAGGGAAAGTTGCTGCTAGAAATGGTGTGGCCAAAAATAACAAACAATCTAGCAGTTCAGATGATAGCTCTTCTGATGAGGATGCAGTAAGTTTAACAATTTAATTTTTCAATTTTTTTGTTATTTGTTTTGTTTCAATTGCTAGTCTTGATGCATCTTCATGTGTCATTGTTTGTTGTCTCATGCAGGTTCCTAAAACAAAGCTACCAGCTGCTAAGAATGGAACTGTAGAGTCTGACTCGGATGATGAAAGTAGTGATTCAGAGGAGGATGCTGATGCACTTACGAAACGATCTGCTGCATCTAAGAGCAGCGTTGTTGCTGTTACCAAGAAGAAAGAAGAGTCTGATGAGTCAAGTGAGGATTCTGATTCTGAAGATGAGTCTGACTCGGATGAGGATGTTGCAGCAACCAAGAAAGTTCCTGCTACTGTGACTAAAAATGCCCCTGTTGCAGCTTCAAAGAAGGATGAGTCGAGCAGTGATGATGAAAGCTCAGAAGATGATGTTCCTGCAGCTAAAAATGGCTCAGTGGCTGCCACAAAGAAAGATGATTCCAGTGAGGAATCTGACAGTTCTGAGGAAAGTGATGACGAACAGCCTCAAAAGAAAAAGCAGAAAGTCCCAGTATGTGATCAATATATAACTTGTTTACTCATGGCTGAATTTTCATCTGTCATTGTTAGTGATTGTAAAATTTCATATCTTTCAGATCTTGGCAACTACAAATGCTGTTAAACCTAGCATAAAAGCTACAGAAGAGGAGGATAGTAGCAGTGAAGAGGAAAGCTCTGGTGATGATGAGCCATCAAAAATTCAAGGGTTGAAGAAGGTACTATTCATAAATATAATTTTGGCTAATTTAGTACTTGCATAAAATTATAGGTTCAGACTGCTCATTCTTTTACTTAACATTGGCAGTCTACTCCTGCCTCTAAGGATAGCAGTTCAGAGGAAGAGTCTACAGAGGAAGAAGAGTCTTCTGAGGAAGAAGAGGAAAAACCTACTTTAACTCCCAAGAAAATGGTAGAAGATATTTTCTCATCATTTAATTAAAGGGTCCAACTACATGATTTTTCTCATTTTCCTTTCTTGTCTTTGGCAAGATGTTATGCTGTGTGCAAGGGAGGTTCTGTCACCCTTTTTTTCCCTTTTTTTTAATGAGATGATGATAAATGAATAAACTAGTTGGCGTACAATCTAGTTGAGCATGCTTAAACATGCAGTTTTGGTTGTACATATTAATCTACATGCTGCTTGCCCAGTACGTGGAAATTATGATCTATATTCATCTCCTTGTACTTGGGTTTCTTGATGAAACAGGATGCTGGTGTGAAAACGACTGGTCTTGCGCCAACAAAGGAGACAGTGAGTAGTTTTTGTTCACTTGACTCGTGTGTGTGCTTTTACGTAAAAAACCTATATTCATCTACTTGTGTTTTCTAAACTAGTGGCTATTCAAATTTGTAGCCCAAGACGCCTGCTACTCCTATAGCACAAACGACGGGCTCCAAAACTCTATTTGTTGGGAATCTTTCTTACTCTGTTGAGCAGGCTGACGTGTAAGTATTGGTTACACTGAAGATTTTGGATTTATGTTAAATTGATTTATATATTTTTGAAATTTGTATCACAGTGAAAATTTTTTCAAAGATGCTGGTGAAGTTGTTGATGTTCGCTTTGCCATGTCTGAAGATAATTCTTTTAGAGGCTTTGGCCATGTTGAGCTTGCTACTGTTGAAGCAGCACAGAAGGTACTTTCGTCTCATTTTGCACATTACTTTTAAGAGATTCATTAGTTACTTATTATATATATCAATATTTCTGCATCCTGTTAATTGATTCTCTCTGCATATATTAATTTGCAGGCCCTCCGGGAATTGAATGGTAAAGATCTGCTTGGTCGTCCTGTGAAACTAGATATGGCGAAAGAAAGGGGATCCTACACTCCATCTAGTGGGTATGTATCTGCTATCTACTATTTGTATGAATGATTACATGGTCTTAGTTCCGTATTCTTGTATTATGATATACTTCTAATTTTAGTGGCAACGAGAATTCATACCAGAAGGGGGGGAGAACTCCTCAAGGGCAAACAATATTTGTTCGTGGTTTTGATAAATACGATGGTGAAGACAAGGCATGTGTAGCGCATACATTTTATTTCTCCGTTATGTGAGATTAAATTTTTATAATTTCCTCTGTTGGTGAATTTTTTGCTGAATCTGAACATCTGAATTGCAGATTAGAAGTGCTCTGGAAGATCATTTTGGTTCCTGTGGTGAAATGACGAGAGTTTCCATACCAAAAGATCAAGATGGTGGTGTTAAAGGGTTTGTATTTTGTTACTGTTTGAGTTCAGTTGAAGTGTTATACGTTAAAATATCAGATCTCTGTTGGTTATTTAATAACAACACAACAGACTTTTGAGATTTGTGCCTTCTATTCTACATTTTTGTTCCAATTGACCAATTCATTATGGTTCCTGTCACAGGATAGCATATATTGATTTTAAGGAGAGTGCTGCCTTCAACAAAGCTCTGGAACTTGATGGATCTGAATTCGGGGAGAGTTCCTTGTCAGTGGAAGAGGCTAAGCCAAGAGGTGATAGTGCTGGTGGTGGCAGAGGTGGCAGGAGTGGTGGCCGGGACAGTGGTGGTCGTTTTGGAGGTCGACGTGGAGGTGGCCGCAGTGGTGGTGGTCGCTTTGGAGGTGGCAGTCGAGGAGGTGGTGGTCGCTTTGGAGGTGGAGGAAGAGGACGTGGAACTCCTGGGAAGCCAAGCATGTTTGCTGCTGGTATGTACTTCCTGTTCCGTTCAATGGACTCTTGACAATATACCTGCACTAAATATTTTTCTGTAATATTTCTTGAAGTTACAAAATTATGTATATACTTTTGTATGCTTGTCAATGTATATTATCGTCTCGAGTGACTCTACTCATCTGGACAAATCATCATCAGTTTGTGTGGCAGTGGGGTCACTGCTACATTGTCTAATGAAGAAAATTGACTTCTGATTTCATTGTACAATGGCCTCTCTAGCACATAGCCGGGTGATGATCATCGCTCTAGATGAATACATTATTCCATATAGTTAGAATATTTGAAGTGAGTTGATGCTATATATATCTAATAGCATTTTTAATTAGAGTTGTGGAAAAATGTTTAAATTTCTTAGCTTTTGCATATCAACCTCGTATGTGATGTGAATGTCTTGTTTGGTAACAAAGTTATTTATTTTTGTGTAAAATTTAGTGTTATGCCTAACTATTTTGCAACTAATGTTTACAGGTGCAGGGAAGAAGACCACATTTGGTGATGATTAGGCATACATACTCGACTCGACGGAGGGTTGCTTTACATCCCTAATAGGAGTCATAAATCTGTGTTCTGATCATACTTTTTTTTTGAAAATAACGCAATATTTTATTATGTTGAAGATGTTAAAGAGAATTCACATTTATGCCTTAGTTGTTATTTTTAATTTAATGAAATTATGATTTGAGTTTTTGAAGGAGACCTTTTTAGCCCCTCATTTAGGCTTTCATGTACCCTCTAAATTTTCTCCCATCACGTGGAATGATCGAAGGGAAATTTTTCTGACTAGTTCTGCTTTCATGTCTAATGGAATTATTATTGTTTAAAATCAATAAAAGGAGAAAGAACCATTTCTCTTGCTTGATGTTTTAGTACATGACTGAAGAACAAACAACAAAACAAAATGAAGAACTATTTCTTTGTTCCTTTTTCTCCCAGCATTTATACTTAAAAGATGTCTGTTTAATGTGCAGTACATCTAGTATGTATGTATCGTTTTCTTCGTGTTAGCAGCTTCCATAATATTAGTTTGGTTATAAATTTAATATTATGTCTTCTTTGATTAATAAAATTTTCTGAGTACCTATCAAAAAAAAAAAAAAAAAATTTTAATATCATGTAAAGGTGAAATAATTAATTGTTTTGATAAGTAGAGCTGAAGAAATTGATCACAAAATCTGATGACCGGTTGCCTGCCCTGCATATTACTTATTTACATATACCTCATCTTGAGGTTGCTATTCCCGATATCATTGACATTCCAAGATTACGAGGCTTATGAAGTAAATTGTTAGGTGAGTTGCAAAACTTGTTATAAGTTCTTGTGAAATTCTGTTGTTGTGTTTGCATAAATGTGTTAGTGTGAAGGGTGGGGGAGGAATAAATCTTCTATCAACAATTTTTGAATGCATCAAGAATAATTCCACTGAATAAGTAACAAACGTAACACCAAAAAGTTATATTTGCATGCTCAAAATGCACACAAATAATAACCGATTCTGCTTAAAGTTTATATTGCAGTATATACAAACAGTTAAACTTGATACTAGGAGGAAAAAATATTTAGTTTACATTCATAAAACATATATATTAATATAAATATACCCTAATACAGCCACAATTCCAAACATAATATTAAAATTAAGAAACAAATGTCGACATATAAGAAAAATAAGACAAAGCACGAATTTACAAAACTGTGTTGATATGAAGTGCTTTGAGTAATGAAGTAGCCATTTGTTTTACCAGAACTTGGCCACCAGAACTCTGCCCATCTCTTCGCTCCTCGATCAAATTTTGAAGTTTCTGAGGCAAATTATTCTCCACTATCAGTTGCTTTGGACGAGGATGGTGCTCATAAACAGCCTGATAAACAAACACCCAGAGTCCATCATCAAAAGCAATGTGTTTTTAGTACCCAAATGTATAGCATTTTTCTTGACTCAACAAACAGATAATGATCATAACATGCAATTAAATTGCTGTCGAATTGTACCATAACTGTAAAATGCTAGAGAAGTACCCGGTCCCAACTATATAATTCATTGAGCTTATAATAACAAACTATATCAAATAAAATCTTTTCAAAGAATCTTTCAGAACCAATAAATATATAAACATCCTAAGTTACTTGAAAACACGTGTAATATGAAATCCTTTGGAAATAGTGAAATGTGCAGATGAGTAATTTGAAGAGTATCCCGTCAAAAAGGTATATGGACTACTGGTACTCTATATATATATCATGACAACTGATTATGATGCAAATAAGTCATACCAAAGAATGACATGCACAATCAAGGTAGAAATAGAAATGAAGAAAACTTGAAAATCATTTCTATTTAGATAATTTCCTCCTGATCATTTGTACCAAATCCGAAAACATTGACCAACTAACATTCCAAAATGAGTCCTGAGTTCTTGCAAGACATGCTTGGGTAGAAAGACTGGTTAGGGAGAAGCACTTATAATAGCCGAAATAGGAGTAGACACACTGATCAACTAAAGAGCTCAAATCCGCTGACTGAAAAGAAGATGAAAAGGGTTTCGCAATTACATTACTTCAGCCAAACAGTACCTAAAAGTCTATATACAAGTGACTACCAAACCTCCCATTTATAGTTCAACTTTGAGAAAGTTTTTCTGTAGTGTTACAAGGTTCATCCATTTTAGAAGACGAGAAAGGGGCAGGGAGGAAGCAATAACATAACATAGAACGACACCCCACTCTACCAAGTAGAATTTACTGGATAAGCTGCTGCCCATCTTTAGCATCGGAAGTTCCTGAATCTACTAATAACTTAATCTATCCAAGAAATTTAGCGTAGCACAACCTGTACTTGGACAATGAGTGAACTAAGTGACATGTAACAGATGCAGGATAAGAACTAGTCATTTGCTCACCTTAATTAGTTTGAGCAAATTCAGGCGAGCTATAGCATCTGGATGGTCAAGTCTCGCTATTAGCGATGGTGTCAAACCGTTAACTGCAAGAGTGGTGTTTATTCGAGATGATTTCCTGCATAATAACAAGGAAAAACAAAAAACAAAGCATCAGTGAGTTCCTCAAACTGAAAAGGAATGCAGAATGACATCTTAATTACATACCATTTTCCTTTTCCAGCTAGAAAATTGCTAAGAATAGGTAAATTAAAAGATGTTTGCAGATCTAAAAATTGGATTACTCTCAACAAATGGCTTAATTCTGATATATAGTCATAGAAGCTGATATTCCTGTATGTACATGAATATGTTGTATTACTTAAAATTTTTACGTCTTTTAGGTGAGGGGTTTCTATCAATATCTAGAATTCTCAGGCATGTGTTGAAAGAAAGTCTTGTTTCCATGGAGAAAAACCACTGACAGTTACTTAAATGAATAAGTCTCCATCCAGTAAGTGTTGGGATAACTTCGGAGAAACCAACTTCTAGTCTAGTCTAGTAGTTCTTTTTATATTAGTTACGATGCGAACAAGCCAATACATTTAATCTAAAATGGTCATTTCAATGATTTCACCACAGCATAAGTCTAATTTAAAAGAATCTGCAACTCTTCTGAACCAATTTCTGTGTTTTGGATACAAACCTAGACCTAGATGTGAGGTGTGAGGGACGCAGTACAATGGCTCAAGTTTCTTTTCCATTCTCTCTGGCTATGCTATGATATAAAGCCCTTAACATCTGTAAACCGCACAATACACTTTGATTTTGATTTACTCGTACAATCAAAATATGACATGATATATCCCTATAACAAGAAACAAAAAGAGAAACCTGAAGCAGAGAAACTATTTATTCGTCCGTCCATCAAAGCAATGAACAATATAATGAGTTCGGGAAAAAATGAGATTCAAAAAATTGGGGCCAAATAAGGCTTACGATAGTGAGAGAGAAATGCTGGAGCAGTATCTCATGTTGTCTCAGTATAGTTTCAAATGAACTTAGCATCATCTAAAAACATTTTTCTAGAAGTAAATAAAGTGAGATCAAATAAGCTTTGCAAAAAAGTTCGGGTCACCAAAAATGCCAAACTATAGCAAAGGTTTTGAAACAGGGGGAGTATTTTTTTTTCAAATATAATGTAACAGATTTATTTATAGAAGAAACCACATACGTGATAATTTTCAAGAAAGGCTCCAGCATGTGCAAGAAGTGCTGCTCTGGACAGCACTGGAAGAACTTAACCAGTTTCTGTACGGCATCTTTTTTTAACAAAGCTTGCTCTACTTTTTTGTTCTCATTGTCATGGGCCAAGCATACAGCTATTGAATCTAATGCCGTCACAGACCAAAGCTCATCTTCAAGAAGGCTCAGGTACACATCCAGACCTCCGTGAGCCCTCAATTGCTCCCTTGAATTACGTGATGCATGGGCCATATCACATAGCAGAGGTAGTGCATGTTGTTTTAATGGAGAATCTGACATGATAAATTGCATCAAGTGTGGAATAATTCCGTTTTCTGCTGCTTGTTCCTGTCTCCGCTTGTTAATCTTGCACAAATTGAAAAGTGCATTGAGAACCTGTAACAATGAATCTAGTGAGACAATATTCAATGATGCAGAAGCTCGAAGGATGTAAGTTACATGCCTTTCCTTGATACTATTAGATAATGTGTGATATTATCGTTGCTCAGTTCATTGAAAAATGAATTTTTTAAAATTTTTTGCTTCAACACCTCACCTCATGATGTATTTGGGATACAAGGGCACCCTCTTTGAGATCGAGGTTAGGGATCAAATACTTTATTGCATCTGCTCGTTGAAGATTTTCTAAGCAATGAGGATCAGCGGACAGATGATGAATACACTTCAACAACTACGAGACAAGAAATTAGTAAGGGTGATCAGACCACAGCAAAAATCAGATACAGTGTTCAACATATAATCTGTTGCATTACCTTTAAAAGAATTGGAGGCTCTATCTTATTGAACATCTGGAAAAGACGACTAAGTAAACTCGGGCTACACATGTAAGATTTTACTGTTGTGTCAGCTGCAGCAAACTCGAGTAGAAGGTCTGCCACCTTTTCCAAATATTCCCGAGCAACATCAACATTCCAAGATGATACCATGTGGGAAAGTAACCCAGATGACGTTGCGCTTCCTGGCCTAGCATTTAAAACTCCAGAACCAGACAGTACACCTGATGCTGTCTGAGACGCAAGTCCAGATGCGGAAGCAATTCCTCCATTAGCTGTCAGGGATCCTAACTTCACATTTGCTGTTTTAGGTGAACTTCTAGGTAATGAGTCCATATTAGAGTTTTCCCTCCCTCGTCCAGATACCTCTGGACAAAAATTAAAAAGTATCTGGATCATATTGTTTATTAATTTGAATGCAAAGAAAAGATTATGCTGCAACTAAGGCAAATTCAATTGCAAGCAGGGGTGGTTCAATGCAGACGCAATCATGAAAATTGGACAGATCAAATACCTGCAAATTCAGGCATCAAAAAGTCCAGCCCATTTGTTTTCTTGTCACCAGATGCATGTAAAAGTGGTAGTATAGT